TTACACGACTTGGCCAAAAATTCAAAGTTGCCACAAAAAAATTAAACAAACAAACAAACAAACAAACAAACAAACAAACAAACAAACAAACAAACAAACAAATAAATAAAATAAAGGTCACACTAATATTTTGTTGGACCGCCTTTAGCTTTGATTACGACATGCATTCTCTGTGGCGTTGTTTCAATAAGCTTCTGCAATGTCACAAGATTCATTTCCATCCATTGTTGCATTAATTTTTCACCAAGATCTTACATTAATGATGTTAAAGTCTGACCGCTGCACAAAGCCTTCTCTAGCACATCCCAAAGATTCTCCATGGACTCTGTGGAGCCAATCCATGTGTAAAAATGATGGCTCGTGCTCCCTGAACCACTCCTTCACAGTAAGAGCCCCATGAATCCTGGCATTGTCGTCTTGGAATATGGCCATGCCGTCAGGGAAGGATGGAATAACCTGGTCATTCAGTATATTCAGGTAGTCAGCTGACCTCATTCTTTGAGCTCATACTGTTGCTGAACCTAGACCTGACCAACTGCAGCAACCCCACATCATAGGACTTATGCTGCGTTCCATTTACATCCTATTCCCAGAACTGGTAAATAGTAGTGTCGTCATTTCCCAACAAACCATGTGCAACTGCATTCCARTTAGCTGACAGGCGATTAGATTGCTGCCGCTAACCTAGCTWCAACACTGCTACAATATAAACACTGACAAAAAGAGAGTTCTACTMTGTACGTCATGCAAATAAACATTGATTTTAATATTGGACAGAAAACAYACTACTTGTGCGAGTGATTAAACATTCACAAAAAATTAAGTAAGATAAATAACAGTAAATGTTACGAAGTTAACTTTCTAAAGCTGCCAGTAGCCACCATCAGGAAATCGAAACTGGGGGCAGTCACATTTCTTTCACTATACGGGTGGATTATTACCACTGGAGGGGGCGTTCCAGTTTAAATCTACCAATGGGAACAGGGAAATTACCACTTCCCTGGACTACTGGAACGCAGCATTAATTAAAGCCAGGTGGACACTTTTTTTTGGCCGGGCAGTGTATCTTCATGTAAAACTGATCATTGTAAGTTCTAGATTGTTATTTTTAAGACCTTCTAAAGTCTAGTTAATGTCTCCAGACTCCAGGCTTTTCTCTAGCTCTGGGGTTAATCGTCCACGGACTGTCCATGTCAGGTCATGGTAAAGCGGAGGACCTCCACCCACGTCTGCTGGCTGCTTGGATCAAAATCCTGCTAGCAGAGGTGCCACACATGCTTTGTTTATTGGAACTTCAGAACAAAGGTTGTTGACAGTCGACAGTGAGTTTAACATCTTGGTCTTTGATTTGTCTTTGTGTTTCAGGGCTGTCCCACAATGCAGCGACTGGCTGCTGCCAACGGTCTGGTGGCTTTAGTGGGATCAGAGAGGTACCTCATCCAGGTAAAAACTGGTGCTCATCAACACTGCATCCACCAGTCGTGGTCTTCATCAGCAACATTGTTGACGTTTTTAGGGAAATTGTGACCTCCTGCTAGGGAACAAATCTAATCTAATCAAGCCTTTTATCCTGAAGAGTGTTTTGTTGTTGCAGTTGAAAGATGAGCTGGAGCTTTCCTCCCAGCAGCAGAGCAGACTGAACGAGGTGATTCGGGCCATCTCACAGGTAGCACTTAGCTTTCAATATTAGCTACTCTAGTTTTTTTTTTCTTACGAAGCTTCGCCTTTTCTGGTTCTTAAGCGTTAATGACTTCTTATGACAGGGTATAATTTATGATGGGGTTTTTTTTTTGCATTTACATACAGTCTGCAGCCTAACACTGGTCTTTTGGTTCTCTGTTGCAGATTATCACCTTTTCTGGAGCCATTGGTTTGCAGTCTAACAGTGCCTGTTTGGTTGGCCATTTGTATCTGGCCCATGTATCCACCAGTCACAGTCACACAGCAGGTAAGAACAATTCATTTCTGTGCCCTGGCCTCTTTTCACCACTTGCCACAATAAATAATACTGTCATATTTTCATATTTAGTTATATGTGGGTTTTATATTTCCTTTAAAAAGATCTGTCTTCTTTCTTTGGCAGCAGAATTCTGTTTATGCTGTGTTCAAATTTTCCTCTTGTCCACCATTTAGTCTACGATACAGTGAGTGAACGAGTTTACAATTTATTTAAATTTATACAGCACCAGTTCACAGAAAAGTCAGGAAACTAYACAAAACAAGAAACACGTTCAGTTAATAAATCTGTTACAGATGCATCCACTTTTAAATCAAGTTACAATCAGTTCCTTCCAATTTTAATACAATACACAAACAGTACATTGTGAAATCAATTAGTAAACATTATCCAAAGAAACCGTCAGATTAGGTAAAATTTTCCTTTCATTGTAATCCTCCATCCTGAGCATGACAAAGGTGACAGTGGAACACAGGAGGAAATCCCCAACAGAACCAGAATCAGGCTCTGGATGGTTGAACATCCACCTCRGCTGGTTGGAGTTTTAGCAGTGGTGAGCTGTGCATTTAAAACTTTTAAATAAAATATATTTTACTCTCCGAAACTTTTTATTATCCGTTTAAAAACTCCATCCTCCTTTTATTCCTCAAGAAAAATCCAGCTCCTCTGTCATACAGGTCCTCATGGCGTTTCGTTTCAACAATAAGTCCTTTTCTATCACCACCATGAAGCTAACACTGAAAGTCCAGTCTGTTCTGTTCTGTATTTTGTTATATGTTTTAATTTTCTGTAATGCTGAGAATGTCTGCTCAGCATTTAGCTTATAAGACGCTACAGAAATCTATCCTGATGCGTCTCAGTAATCCAGGTAAAAAATCAAAAAGAAAAAAATTGTATAGGTCTTCTGGACGGGTTCTTCTTTAATGAAACGTTTCGTCTCTCCTCCAAGAGACTTCTTCAGTCTGAGAGTTTCAGGCAAAATTCAGGCTTTTAAGCACTGCCTCCATGTGACTGATACACCTATTGTTAACGGGGTGGAGTGATACTGGCAATAACAGCACTGTAGGAGGGAGGCAGTGCTTAAAAGCCTGAATTTTGCCTGAAACTCTCAGACTGAAGAAGTCTCTTGGAGGAGAGACGAAACGTTTCATTAAAGAAGAACCCGTCCAGAAGACCTATACAATTTTTTTCTTTTTGATTTTTTTACCTGGATTACTGAGATGCATCAGGT